AGATTCTGTATGTGTAATATGGAGGGAGAAGGTGTCATCTTATCCTTTGTGTTAGATAGCAAAACATCTTGGTCTGACTCTGCTTTCCCTCCTCTTTCTATGTGGATGGAGGCTGGATGTATTTAGTCAGTGCTGAGGAACAGGTTGGTGTATTAGTATATCTTGCTGGGTTATGGATTGAAATTGTCTCTAATCTTGTGAGCCTCAGAAGAAATTCAGTCCTCCCTGAAAGACAGGTTTAATTCAAATTTAAATTTGTAGTACATTCATGACTGCTGGGTATTCATTCTAACTTAGTTTGCTGCTTTATTCCTATTCTCTTTAAATTTAGAAAAAAAATACTACTCTGTTTCTGTATTTTCACTTTTGCTTCACAGATGATAACTTGTCTAGTGCACAGCATCTGGGTCTTCAGATTTGTTTCTCTGTGAAGGCTCTAATCCTTTTAAGTGCAATAATTTTTTTCAAGATGCCATAACTTTGAAGCACTTCAAAAAATGAAATGATTTATATTCGAAACAGGTTTGGATAAACATATTGGAGTATTATAATGATGTCCTAAAACTATTTATTTCAATATCCACATTCAGCTTTGAAAAAATAATTTGAAACTTGGTGCCATGTAGATTTAATTTCTGATTATTGTAGATCTTTACTTTTCAGAATGACTACTTCCTCAAAAAAATAAAGGGACACAGTATTTTGAAGTGTTCCATTTTCTCCTGTGCATCTAATCAAATATTTAAATGTTCAGATTTTCTCATCTTATTCTTATTGCCCCCATTATCTTTCCATCTCCATTTTAAATCACATTTATTATCTCTCTTTCTATTGTAAAAATGCTGCTTAAATCAAACTTTGCTGTCAAGCATGTTTAAGTGCTACACACTTTCTCCATGACTCTCATTTCAGCAAGTCTGAGTGATGGCAAAGAAATGGAATTCATAAGTGCTAAATATATTGCATAATTCAAGGTGAAATCAGCAGAAAAGAAAGGAGGGTTGGTGTAAGAAAATATATTGAAAAATGTGTAAATATGTCCCATAATATGGGTACTGAGACACCCTTTCTCATCAATGATGTGAAACTTTGCAAATATTCTTTACAGTCTAGAAATTTCTGGCCTAAAAGTAATTTTGAAAACTTGCTCACTTTGGTGGTGGCCATTCCCACTTCCATTCCACAATAACCCAGAATGATTCAACTTCAAGGCCACTATAAGAAATGAAGAGGATGCTTGTGTGAATAACTTTCATCTGGTAAGAAGCATGTCTGTCACTGGTTTTAAGAACCTATGATAAACTCCAGCAGTGGCCCTTGGCAAGGTGATAGAACTCAGAAACTTATGTTGAGCCTAGGATCCAAATGCTTGAGACCAGAAGTATTTTGGATTTTGGATTTTTTAATTTATTTTGGAAAACCTGTATTTGCATATATATATATAATGAGAGATGTTGGAGATGGAACCAGGTCCAAACACAAAATTCATTTATGTTTCATATACACCTTATACACATAGCCTAAAGGTAATTTTATGCAATATTTTTAATAATGTGCATGAAACAAAGTGTGTGTCTATTGAATCATCGGAAAGCAAATGTTTCACTATCTCAGCCACCCATGAAAAAAATTAGGTTTTGGAATATTTTGGATTTTGGAATTCCAGATAAGAGAGACTCAACCTGACAATCAAATGGCAAGAAAGGAGATGGCAGCAAGAGCAACAACATACTGAGTTTGTCCCCAATTATAAGTTAATGTACCAGAATTATGATGTTGTATAATTTTGGTGTAGTAACTGGACTATGACTCTGGAGACCAGGGTTTGAGTCCCTAGTCAGCCATGAAACCCATTGGGTGTCCTTGGGCAGGTCACATGCTCTCAGCCTCAGGGGAAGGTGATGGTAAGCCGCCTCTGAACAAGTCTTGCCAAGAAAACCCCATGATAACATTGTCATAAGTCAGAAATAACTTGAAGACACAAAACACCAACAACCCTTCTAGAGGGCCAGGATGGTGAAGTGGTTTGAGTGTTGGACTAGGATTCTGGAGACCAGGGTTCAAATCCCTGCTTGGCCATGCAAACACACTGGGTGGATTTGGGCAAGTCCACACTCTTGGCCTTAGAGGAAGACTGTGGCAAACCTCTTCTGAACAAATGTGAATGTTCTTTATTGACTCCCTCATGGAAACACCTTGGGTCCCACTTTGGGAGGAAGGAGGCATAAAAATAGAAATAAATTAATGAATAAATATTGTCAAAAAAAATCCCATTATAGGTTCATTTCAGGGATGTCATAAATTTGAAATG